CACACACACACACACACACACACACACACACACACACACACACACACACACAAACACACACACAACCGCCCTATTGCTCCCGCCTGCTCTCTCCCGCCAGCTCCCTCGCTCCCGATTGCTCCCACCCGGTTTCTTGACGGGCTGTTGTTGTTGTTGTTGTTGTTGTTTTACATTTGGAGAATTTTGGACTAATTCCTCGATTTGTGCATGTCATCCTTGCACAGGGGCCATGCTAATCCCAAAGGACAAGTACGGATACAGGGTACTAATTTTTTTGGGGCCTCGTTTTCCGAAAGTTGGTACCAGAGATATTGCCCAGAGATATGCGATTCAGGACATTGAAGTCCCAGAGATATTGCCAATCCAAATGATCAAATCCTGCAAATGGGCCGAATACGCCCCCCGTAGAATGTACATAATGATAGTGTGCCACTAAACGTAAATGCATAAATGTTGTTCGGATCATATGGCAGAAAGAGAGGCCTCATGTCCTTCGGGACATTCGTTAAAATTGGAACAATATAGAGAAGATTAGCATGACCCTCGCGCAAGGATGACATGCATACATCGAGAAATGGTCGATTTTTATTTATTTATTTTTTTTTGGACGGGGGTGGGGGAGAGGGGGGAGGGGGAGGCACCTTTTGCACAGTTGCGAAAAACAGTTTCAAAATGCATTCCAGGCATCCCTTGAATATAACATACACGCACCTGACCCTAAAGCTAGCTTGTGTACGTTCAACATTTTCAGCCTCTTGCCTAGACTCCAATGTCACTGCATTTTGAAACTGAAAGAAACCGTGACTGCACCCTAGTTTTCCCTTTTTTTTGGCCTCATTCAAATGACTCAGCTGGCAATAAATACTACGTAGACTGCAAACCTCAGTCCACAGCTGGGACTTTCCTAAAATAACATGCTGTTCTTTTAGCCCACACGTGCACATGCATGGACGATGGCCAATCGATCCTTGTGATTCAACGGACCGCTGTCATTCCAGAATGCACTGATGGCGTACTCACACTGGGACTTTCCTGGATGTATATGACTGCTTTGCTGACCAGGTGTGTGTGCACCTGACTGCAATTACGTCCACATAGAAGTTCTAAATCCAATCGTAGCTTTTCTCATTATCGTTGGTGGTAAGAATGTACATACAGAAATCACCACCCACCAAGCCCGAGGACGCGCAGCCTTTATGGCATTTAGTTAGCTGCACGTATTTATTTTATTACTACGAAGTTTCGTCTCCGGTCGAAACTTACAGGCACAGACTTAGTTCGAACTCGCAACGAAGTTGCCTTGACTGGTGCCCCTCTTATGATTCACAAATGGATTGCTTTATTTTTCTCTGCTTTTTTATGTTTAACCTCCAATCCTTTTCTTCGAATTTCCTTTTTAAGCACTGATTCGGGAAAAGAATTCAACCCCATACTACAAGACCCCGTACTAAGTCCTAGTGTAACTATATGACTGTGCCTCAGAAGAGCCTGACCATCCCTGTTGTGACAGCCTGGAAGCATTGTCAGATAATGATATGACCGGGCCTCAGAAATGTTGCTGCAAATGATCAGTCTGGTTGGGTATCGGCTACAAAGGGAGATGCCAGTCTTGAGCGCTGCACTGTGTTCGCGTTGTGTCATCAACTTTTAATTTCTGATGCAGTTTGGAATCGACAAAAGCCGATAGCACTGCCTGCCTCGGATTCTGCCATGCGCATGGGCCATTCAATATTCGAAGACTGACCCGGCGCATGCGGAACGTAGGATTGCCTGGTCGTTCGCGATAATCATACAGCGATTGCGGTGCCTGATGCAAAGGCATGTGACATTCGAGTGAGGAGCCAGAAATGCAGTTCAGGACCTCTGGTCACATTTGGCTGCTGCTGTCTGACGACTGTGCCACCGACGTCTTTGCTGCTTGCAGAAAGTTTTGGAGTGCATGGAGCCGCAAGTCAATGTCTGCAATTTCAGCTGATGCATCGTGATACACCACGATTGGATTGCCACCGGAAATGCTTGGCACAGGGCTCCCTGCTCTCACACTGGCTTGGTCTGGTGGTTTCACCACAATAACAGTGACAGGCACACGAGCAAACAGTGGTAAGAACTGACTGCCGCGTTTTCACTTCTCTGTGTTTCACTTTGCACAAGTTTGCAGCTTTAAACAACCACACGCCCCCTGCAGTGCTATGTGGTTGTGGTGGTGTACATGGCCCCAGGCAACTGGAGAACCTGTTTAGAGCCTGTCCGGAAATTTAGGAGGCCGAGCGCGCCGTAGACAAAATGCATTGGCAGTGGGCGGGGCGGCCTCCGAAAGGGGCTCGCGGCCGATAGCTGGCATGTACTGGTGCTTTAAGAAAAGGGGGAATGATCTCGGGTGTTGGCATAATGAAAAAAAAAAAACAATCTGACTCTGCAGGGCATGCACTCAGGGACCAAACAGGTCACTAGCTTGTGTCTGCAAAAAATCGTCAGCTGAAGAAAACAAACTTGGCATAGCAAATAACAAATTCATTCCACCCAATATGATAGAAATCATTCATCATCAGATTACTTCGCTGCCAGTTCACTCCCCCTCTTCTTCCCCTCTCTCTCTCTCTCTCTCTCTCTCTCTCTCTCTCTCTCTCTCTCTCTCTCTCTCTCTCTCTCTCTCTCTCTCTCTCCCCCCCCATCGCCCCCATCCCCCCTCCCACCCCCCTTGATCCCCCGATCAGTCTCTCATTGTCTCTTTCCCACTTGCTTCCCCTGGACCTTGGGCGTAGTCGGTTTTGGCGTCCTTCGTGCGTGTATATTTGCACATTTGCCCCTTGGATTTCGTTCCAAGCAAGTGCCTGAGTCGTGCTTCAATTTTTTTTATCTTGCACCCCATACAAATGCGCATCACAGGTCTACACTTTGCTATCTGGAAGAGCCCCCATTCTGAATGCCTCCATTTTCTTGATGCGTCCATAATACTCCATATGCAGCAACAAGTCAAGTACAACTCACCACACAACATGATTGTGTGAGGCTTCAGGCCTCGGTGAGCCCAAGAAGGCCGCCAGTGAAATTGGCCGCCCTAAGTGAAGGCGGGCCTGAGAAAAACTAGGCCGGCCCTGAGCCAGAGGAAAACTGGGCCTGAGCTAGGCGGTGCCCGCTGTAACTAACCGGCAGACACAGCTTCCCGTTAGCTACAGAGGCCGAGACCCAGACTCAGACCGATAGACAGTTGAGAGGACCCAGGTCGCGGCCTCCAGAATGAGCAATAGGAGGGAAGCTGCTCGTGGAAGGCACATTCAGGCATTGGTTCCTGGCCTTTTATTTACTCCTGGCCTTCACTTAGGGCCAGGGGACTTGTTATGCGGGTCGGTGGCCCCTGCTGGGCGCTGCCCAGACCTGGAGCGTTGCGCATCTTTCGAGATAAGGACGAAATGTCACGAAAGTCAAAAGGAGGTTACTACTGCTGTATCACGCTTCTACATGACAATTCAGATTTTTATTTTTATTTTATTTATTTATTTATTTATTTTAAGAAGAAGAGTTTTATTTCCAAAAGCGAAAAAGGAGGCCGGGAAAACCCCCACATAACAACCCGGAGGAAAAACTGGGGTCCTTTTCTCATGGTAGATTAGCCTTACTTTCTTGGCTCTCACCTTCTTGGCTCTCTTCTTAATCCTTGTATTGTAGTTTGGTTTTTTGGTTAGTCCAGTTTCTCTCTTTGGTTCCATATAGAAGTGAGTTTTATGGGACGCTGGACCCGGTTTCCAGCTAGCCCAAGCTGGGTAATGGCCCCAGTTTTTCCTCCGGGTTGTTATGTGGGGGTTTTCCCGGCCTCCTTTTTCGCTTTTGGAAATAAAACTCTTCATCTTTAAAAAAAAAAAAAAAAAAAAAAAAAAAAAAAGTACAACATCGGGACGAGGCCGGGGACCTCACAATTCAACCCGGAGACAATTCAGATATGGACGTTCCAAATCGACCAACTCTGGATCTCACCCCCCTATGTCGCTCAACGAACCCCTGATTGTACCTGTATACAAACTTCCCCCGGACTATGATATGCTTTTTTTTTTGCGGTTCCCAACAGATAACGCAAGATACAAAGGGCGTCGCCGCACGGGACACGAAACGAAAAACGAAACGAGTGCATCTTCCTGCAGAAAATGGCCTTTTGATATAGATAGTAACGAGTGTATTTTGCCACCTTTGGTGGGCAGATGCACTCGTTTCGTTTTCGTTTCGTGTGCCGTGCGGCGAGACCCAAAGTCTTGGCATTTGTCAAATGTGCCAGTCGGCGTGTCGGGTCAATGTCAATGAATGCGTGGATCCTCTACAAGTCTTGGGGCGTCGCCACACGGCACACGAAACGAAAAACGAAACCAATGTATCTTCCCCCGGAAAATGGCCAGGTTCATCGGTTTGCTATAAATAGTAACGAGTGTATTTTGCCACCTTTGGTGGGCAGATGCACTCGTTTCGTGTGCCGTGCGGCGAGGCCCTTGAAGATGGGTACATTTTCTTGATTGCCTTAGCTAGAGACGGATCGGGGTTACGTTGAATCCAGAAAATGAGGTTCAGTGCACTGAGACTTTCTGATCAAGGAAGGAGGTGGAGAGATAGAGATCTATTCCCAGGATACGAAGCAACCATATATTGGGTAGGAGAAGGTGGGGGACATAAGCGTAGATTAAGAGAAACTCGAGCAGAAGGAAAAGCATTTTGAAAATGAAGAAGGAAGGGGGGGGGGGGGGGGAGGAGGGGAGAGGGGGAAGGAGAGGAGGGGAAGAAGATAGCGTAGAGGCAGTGATGGAGAGGACAAGAATAGATGCAGACAGGGTTTGTCTACCCCGGCACCCCTCAAACGGCGTGGACGAGAACAGGTATGTGTCTTTGGGTGTTGTATATGCTTTTATTGATGAACGTGAGCTGCGGTACATCTCTCCACAATCCTCTTTACATCACAGGTACTTTCACAAAAAAAAAAAGAAAAGAAAAGAAAAAAGGAAAAGGTTCAAAAAAACATCTAGAAAGCTCGTGTTGTTGATCTCCACTTTCCATTTTTCTTCCAAGAATCACACCCCCCTCGGTGACATTATCCTGGCCTTTTTTTTTTCTTTTTTTTTTTTGAATGTCTAGGATACATGACCCTGTGGCATGGGACCACCACTTTTTTCGTACCTGTTGACAACTTCAAAGTCTCAGCTGAATCGCGAGTGACGTCCTTGTCCCTCACATCCGAACTCATAGCTTCCTCATCTTCGGAGTCCTGATCCCACACTTTCTCTCTTGCATATCTGTTGGGAACCACAAAAAACAAAACACAAAACAAAACAAAACAAACATATCATAGATAACCATTCTTTTTGTCTACCTTCATCTGATTGCATCTGGATTCGAACTTGGGTCTGTATTTCAATGCTTCAAACCAGGCCATTTTGGTCATTAAAGAACCATTCTGCACCAATCAAAAGTATGCAGATGTACCTTTTTTCACACTGGTTTCCTGTGCGCTTCACCTCAGGAACAGGAAGTCGTTATATGTGAACTTGTACAAACTTACAAAGCCAATTGATAAATATTAAATATTCAAACTGCTTTATCCTGGACGCCCTTCCAACTCCAGGACAACTCTGTCAAACGTGTTTGTAACTTTGTTTTGCCACAGGATGCGAAATGCCTGTGCTACAAAGAGGGTAAGGAGAAAAAAAAAAAAAAAAAAAAAAAAAAAAAAAAAAAAAAAAAAAAAAAAAAAAAAAAAAGCGGGTAAGAAAAGGCCCCACGTGCTCTGCAATGACCGGAGGAGGTACTTAAGCCTGAGAAGTCTGAGGACGTTCGCTCGGTTTGCTCAGTCACACAGATTATGGAATCATTGGAAAGTAAGTGCATGAGGGCAAAATTTTCGGACGAACCCGACAGAGGACTGCTCATTGAAAATTTGAAACAGAAATTTGAACATAGTAAAAAAAATACCTGGTCATTTGAGTGAAAAATTCCCAGAGATAAGACCATTTGCAGTGGGGGTGACTGGCACAATCCAGGGACACAGCCACGCGACTCCTGTGGGTGCTGATCTGGATGAACTCACAGGGCCAATCCTTTAAGCTCAAGTAACAGAAGGATGAAAACCACCGGGAGAGCAAGTATTACTACAAGGGAAACCTGAAAAGAAAGAAAATTGTGACATAAACCGAAACATGGATATAGAAGGCAGGCTTTCATTGATCGCCTATCCTGCCCATCAATCCCTCCTGTAAGTTAAGGAATCAGCACTAGCAGCCGATATCAGATTCTTTGTGTTGCCCGATTTGACGTTGGACGCACCTCATGCTCTTGCACTGGCTTAGACATTCCTCTAATCTTAGCACTCGCAGCCGATGTCAGATTCTTTGTATTGCTCGGTTTGAGGTTGGACGCACCTCATGCTCTAGCGCTGGCTGAGACATTCCTCTAATCTCTGTCATCAGTATAGTTGAGGTTTTCTCCACACAAGGAGGGGCATTAATGCCCTCCTCCGGTGGGCCCCCCAGGAGCCATGACTGCGCCCATCGAGCCATCTGCTTATTCTCTTTTAGCCGAAGCTGGATAATGGCCCCGGTAACAATCAGCAGGTTTGTAGTACTTTGTACCTTTGTGACGCTGGACCCGGTTTCCGGCAGGTGTAGCTCCCCACCAATAGATTGGACATACTTGCAAGCGGACGCCGTCCGGGCGGTTCCGCACGTGCGGCAGACCGGCGCACGAATGTGCGCCCGACCACCAGTTACGCCCCCCCCCCCCCCCCAAAAAAAAAAAAAAAACGCCCCCTTCCGGTCTGGTCCGGGTCCGTGCGGTCCGGGGGGGGGGGGAGGGTGCCGTACGCGGCAAAGCGGACTGGACCGGACGCTCGTCCGGTCCGTCTGCTCCCCACCAATAAATTGGAGCCATCCACAAGGCAGGTACTACGGAGGGATGTTCGTACCAACCTCCGCCGTACCCCCGGAGGACGTTTTTTTTTTTTTTTTTTTGAACAAAAAAAAAAAGAGGTTGGGAGGCAGGACACTGTTTCCCACAGGTGACGCTTCCCACGGATCCACTGAAGTATGCATCTGTGGAGCAAGGAACCCAAAAGAGTCGAAAACCCTGTTCCCGACTCCCTTTCCCTCAGCGTTTTCTCCTCTATTCCTTTTGTTTCATCTTTCATGAAGATGGACGAATAGTACAGACAGGTAATTATTGGTCGACAGATGCAAGGGGCTAACGCCTTTTTCTTCTTCTTCTTTTTCCCCTTTCCTTAGACAAAACCTAAATCACCCACAATACCACAACCATCCCACCATTGCTGTGCTCACTACCAAGACAACCCGTACCTGTGGACTTGGGATGCCCATCCACTGTTCTTACCAAATTTGTCACATTGATATTTAACAATGCTGTTACATACGCCAGAACTGACGAAGCCAAGTATCAAAATAACAAACTCACAGTGCCATTGTTTCTGATGACCAACAGACCTTACGCACACCTGGAGTTAGTGCATACTCAAACTCGGCCCTCAAAAGCACAAAATCGCAAAGCGAGCGGCCAGATCGAGTCCTTGTAACCGAAGGACTCGACCTGGCCACTTATTTTGTGATTTGGTGATTGTGAGGGCCTAGTCTGAGTATACTCTTACACCTTCTTTACTCCTTTTTGAAATCCAGGATGTTGCTCTCTTATCCCTTCCAAAAAAAAAAGAGAAACACAAATTCCCAAAGAAGGAGTGAAGAGGCAGTCTTCCTCGCCGCACAGTTACACCCCCCCCCCCTCGGGTCTCCCGGGGGAGTCAATACCACCCCCCCTTGGGTCTCCCGGGGGAGTCAATGCTCCTGGCGGCTCACACATGTATCTTGTTCAATTGGGACGCTGGACCCACTTTCCGGCAGGTGCCGCTCCCCACCAATAGACTTGGAGCAACCGGAACAGCTACTAAGGGGGGGGGGGGGGGGGGGGGGGGGCTCGTACCACCCCGACTGGTACCGTGCTTTGTTTTTTTTTTTGCCTTTAGGGTTTCAAAACATGCCGCGTCCGCCGTTACATCGTTTTTTTTTTTTTTATATTGAAAAAGAGGAAATCTTTCCTTGGCTAGTTGCTTTCCAAGCAGCAGGACTGACCTTGCAAGCTTGGCTTTCACATCTTGCAGGGTTCTCCTTGGAGAAAGGCATTCTTGCCCCCTTGTTCTTGAGCTCCCTCGCAGCTGGAATGAAGGCAATAGATCCAAAAAGTTAGAGAAAGACATTCTTGCCTCCTTGTTCTTGAGCTTCCTCGCCGCTGGAATGAAGGCGATAGATTCCAAAAAGTTCAGTCAAGTCTATCTGTCAAATTCGGAACGCGGATGCTACCGTCTTCACCCGAATAGAACGCTCGGTCATTATCGCTGCATCTGGACCGAAAGTTGTATCAGACACAGCTATAATGACCGGGCGTTCTATTCGGGTGACGACGGTAGGTTTTGTGCCAACTGGTGTGCATGTCAGACGATAGAGACAGTAGAAACACCACAATTTTGGAGCTTTACATTTCATAAAAAAAAAAATCACATCGTAGGAGAGCGTAAAAAATCGGACGCTCTATCAGCCCTTCGACTCCATCTTGCTCAGACTGAGTGTCGAGTACTCCCTCAACCATTTCTTCTCAAGTACAGAAACTCCTTTGAAAAGTTCTACGCTCTGTGGTGCTGTATCTGAAAATCCGACGTCTGAGGCGTGCCGTGAGTTTCTCAGTCTTACCCGCCTGATGGCAGGTCTGTTTCTGAGCTCGTAGCACCTGTGCTTCCAGTAGCTTAGTGTAAGACAAAAAACGGCAACGAAAATCCGATTGAGGAATGCTTCGGATATCCACTGCGGCGGTTCCAGTAGCGTACCAAAAGTGACCAATCAAGGAGTGCGACCGGTAGACGATTCTTAGAAAGGAAAAGGCATTTACGAGATTGAGGATGAAACTACGTAGTGTCTATTGTCACAGGAAGGTAAGGCACGTGCTACAGAACAGGGGGCGATTCCACTTGTATAATCCCCGAAGTGCATGCCACATTGGCGGGAAAAAAAATGGTTCGTGATGATTGGTGCTTTTCCCTTCCTCAGCAGATCGTGCTTGCTTGCACAAACATGGCAATCGTATCTTGATCCATCATTGGTGTATGTGGAACCAGCAATATAATCATTATTGGTGTCAATGATGTAACGTGTCTTCCTATTGATGTCCGATGCTCGGATATCAATGTGCGGATGGCTTCCAAAAGGACAGCCGCGAAGCACAGTTGCTTCCCGAGGAGCACCACATGATCCATATCGTTTATCAGTGCTGGCAGGGCCCAAACTCTTCTTCTTCTTCTTCTTCTTCTTCCTTGTAAATTTCAATTTTTGAATCTTGGCACATGCTGAGAATTTGCCCGCTGTGACGCTGTCACACTGCCTCCATTTTCAGGGGCCCTTTTCCGATCCAGAAGACCCAAGAAAAAGGCTGAGGCTGGAGATTAACTGACGGGGCTGTCACACATGGTTCTGTTTGAGTGTATGTCATGGTTACGATCCGGATGTCCGGAACCCCATCCAGATGATCCGGATCAAGACCTGCGTCCAGACGCCTTGTCCAGAAGGTCTTGATCGAGGCCGGATCGAAAAAAAAAGGGAAAATTTGTCTGGCGCCCCTGTATTTTGCGATAATTCGCGTCGCGCCCCTCCGACGGCCGGTTTACCCTGTCGCGCCCCTCTGAGCAGGGCTGAAATTTTCGAACAGACCCCCGTGTCGTTTGGGCCTCAAATCTTTTCGTGACGCCCCTACCGGTACCAGTCAGTAATTTGTGGGATGCCCCTACCGGATGGCCATTAAAAGCCAACGGAAAAATTTTCGAGATGCCCCGACCGGTACCATCCATCTTTTCGGCACGCCCTTGTTGCCGTTGGAGGCACTTTGGGGCATTCCCGTGTGTGTGTGTGTGTGTGTGTGTGTGTGTGTGTGTGTGTGAGAGAGAGAGAGAGAGAGAGA